TATTCGTCGGACTATATCCTAAAATATAGGTATAGAATTACTAACGAAGTTAACTATAATAGTCCTACCTAGGGTAATAAGCGTATATATATAATACTAGTAGCTCTCCTAAATCTTATAGCTCCCCTCGGATCTCTTAAGATCCTATAAAATCTAAGAGATCTAGGAGATCTAGCCTAGCCTAGTTACTTAACTTAGCCTCGTCCTCTATCGGCTAACCTCCTTCCTTAGGTAGGTACCTTAATTCCCTTAGTAACCTTTTAAGTAACCTAGTTCGTAATACTATTCTCCCCTCCTTTTAGCCGTTATCCCTAACGTACTTAAGGTAAGTTCCTTCTATACTTTTATTTCCTTCTCTCCCTATAGCTAACTATATCGCCTATAGGTATTATTAAGCGTTCTAAATTCTCTACTATTCGTCGTTAGCGTACCGCGCTTAAAATTAAAACTCTCGGAAGAAAATACGAAAGTATAGGTCGCTATACTCCTTACTAGAATATAAATATCGTCTATTTTATATTAGATAGTTATACGCGATATAATAACTATATACGTAATAACCGAAAAGATTATAATAGGGTATTTTCTAATACTAAGTTCGAGGCTCTATTAGCTAAACGTAGCCGTTTAGCCGAGGCCGCTCGCTAGAAAGGCGAAGAAATTCGTTAAAAGAGCGAAGAAATATAGCGTCTACTTTCTTCTATTACTTAAGCTAATATTAAGTATAAGCGCCTCGAGAAGGAAGCCGAGTAGCTACTTAAGAAATAAAAGAAAATAGTTATCTAGGAGGCCTACGCTCTAGACGCGCTAAATTACGTCGATCCTCTATCCTAAGCTTCCTCTACCGTTCTAGTAAATATAGATAACGCCTAGCTTAAGGATATCTTTAATTTACTACCGAGTTTTCTAACCTACTTCTTAGGTCCTATTTCTTTAAATTATCTAATAGTTCGGTAATACCGAGCTACGAGTCTCGAGTTAAGGTTTATTTCTAGTTTCTACGTATTTTCCTCCTCTAGATATCCTAACTATTTAATTAGATATTTTATTTAATTATTCTCTTACCTATACTAGAGTATAGTTTCTATATCGTAATAGGGTTCTTAGGTTTCTTCGTCGATATATACTAGTCCTAGTCTAGCTTCGTCTAGTACCTTTTTTAATAGCGACTTATAGAATACCGGATATATATTTAGTCCTCCTAGTAAGTATAGCTTATAAGAGACTAGTCTTAATATTTTCTTAATTCTATATAGTTTAATTTTAGTATAATCTAGTTTCTTACTTAGTCTCTATATTTTTATATTTTTTATATTAACGTAAACTATCTCCCCCTCTCGGAAGTCTAGTTCCTTAGATCTTTTCTTATTTACCGTTTTTATAGTTATTCTTAATATTTTATCTAATTTCGTTTTTAGTAGGAAGTATAGTTTATATAAGTCTTCGACTTTTATTCTTACCTTTTCTACTATAGGTCTATTCCCTAATAGTTTTTTCTTAAAGTCTAGGTATCTCTCGTAATTCGTAAAGAATAGTAATATCTCGGTTACTAATATATTATTATTAAAAGCGAATTAAGCTATTAGTAATAGCTCGACCTAATTCCTTTATTAGTAATCTATATAGTATCGTAAGTATTATTCTATCGTTTAATTCGTTCTTTTCGTTTATCTATCTATTTACGAGTAGTATAATATAGATATTTTATATTTTATTCCTAATAGGTTAGTTAACGATTACTAAAACTATAAATTAAATAGTTTATCCCTATCTATAATAATAACTTTCGGTATTTCGTACTACGCGAATACTATTCTTATAACTATATATACTAGTTCCTCTACTATTAATACCTCTTTATATAATAGTAGGTAAATATATTTTATTAGTATATCGTTTATTATAAGTATACTATTATAGGTTATATTCGTTATAGGTTCTTTCGATAGTAGTAGCTTAACTATAAAGTCTATTACTATTCTTAACTATACCTTATCTATATTTTCCGCTAATTATAATAAGCTATATAGTTTATATCTCGAGTATTTAGTTTTATAGTATATATCGTAATTCTTAACGTATTCTTTAATATCCTTTCTTAATCCTACCTAGGTAAAATCTCGTATTACTAGTTCGATTATTTTATTAATACCTAAGTATCCTACGCTTTTATTATTATACCTTACTTATATAATTCTCTATTTTTATTCTAGTATTAAATCTATTTTTAATATTACGAGTATCCTTATTTCTATTTTTCTATATATTAGATAATTTTCTCTTTTTTCTAGGAGCGCCGCTAGCTCCGGTTCTAGTCCTTCTATATAGTTCGTTCTTCGACTAAGGGTATCGGCTATAATATTCTC